CCACCAGGGACGCTGGGTGCCTGACCTCTCAGCACAGGGAGGGAAACAGCAAAGAGGCTTCAGGACTCTGTTAATACCCAGGGCTCAACTAGGGAGTTTAAAGAACACTGAGCAGCCATGAAATAAGACAGAGAGGAACAGACACACATAAATGTAACAGCCCTTTACTCTCTGAGAATGTGAGAAAAACGGAATGTTACTGGATAATGGCATTCATTAGATGTTAAAATTCAAAGGTTTATCATTTTTGAACATGATTTTTAACTTGAATCATTCATTCATTCAGCTGGTTATTGAGTGCCAAATGTGTGCCAGACACACTCCAGGCACCAGGACACACAGTGGACAAGATAAACAGAGCCAAGATGCACGCTAACAGAAAAGCTGGGCTCTATCCCTCCATCACTTTCTGCCAACTGTCCCTCCTCATCTCCCTGGTGAGGAAACTAGCAAGGAGGGCTGAAGACACAAAAAGGGCAGTTTACACAGGGCCAGGTGCATGGGAGCCACTACCCAGGGCCAGAGTCAAGGGCATGGCCTGAGCCAGAGGACAGCCAGCCAAAGAGACACGTTGCAGAGTCAGCTGCAGAAGCAAAGATGGGTGGAGAGGTCAGGTGTGTGTCTGGAAGGGAAAGGGCAATGAAGACAGAGGAGAGCGAGCTGAGGATGTCAGGGCCCGACAGCTGCAGGGACCAAATAGAGAGCTGAGTGGCAAGTGTGACACATGAGGGTGCCGCCTGTTGCAACTAGCCTGCCTCCCTCCCCAGAGACAGAACGGTTCCTGGCTGCCTCACTCTGATCTGCATCCCCTGGCTCACGCACCTCGCTCCCCTGGCCCCATAGGCAGACACTCCTCATCTAAAGTACAGCACCCCAGCTCTCAATCCCAGGACCTCTTCTCCATCTACACTTCGGGCCTCAGTGATCTCATCCAGTCCGAGGCTTTATTTTATTTTATTTTTTTGTGAGGAAGATCAGCCCTTAGCTAACATCCATGCCAATCCTCCTCTTTTTGCTGAGGAAAGACTGGCCCTGAGCTAACATCCGTGCCCATCTTTCTCCACTTTATGTGGGACACTGCTACAGCATGGCCTGACAAGCGGTGCGTCTGCGCGCGCCTGGATCCGAACCCAGGCCGCCAGCAGCAGAGCGCGCGCACTTAACCGCTACGCCACGGGGTCGGCCCCCCAAGGCTTTAAATGCATGACATGCTGACGCTTTTCAAATTCCTACCTCCAGTCCTGCTCCCTGACCTCCAGACAGGGGAGCTCCAGACCCATGCCTTCACGGCCTTCTCAGGAACTCCTTTCTGTGAGGCTCTCAGCCTCTCAGACCAACTACAGCCAAAGCCAAAGCTGTCAGCCTCAGAACCAGCCCCTCTCTCGCTCTTCCCTCCTCAGCTAATGTCAGCTCCTTCCTTCCCGTTGCTCAGAGCAACAAATTTTAAGGAAGGAAAAAATGCAGTTACATTTAAAATTGTAAATGTTAAAAATGTATATGGGGCCGGCCCGTGGCTTAGCGGTTAAGTGCGCGCGCTCCATTACTGGCGGCCCAGGTTCGGATCCCGGGCGCGGACCGACGCACCACTTCTCTGGCCATGCTGAGGCTGCGTCCCACATACAGCAACTAGAAGGATGTGCAACTGTGACATACAACTGTCTACTGGGGCTTTGGGGAAAAAAAGGAGGAGGACTGGCAATAGATGTTAGCTCAGAGTCGGTCTTCCTCAGCAAAAACAGGAGGATTAGCATGGATGTTAGCTCTGGGCTATCTTCCTCACACACACACAAAAAAAAGTATAGAATTTATTAATAAATATAGTTGTTACTAAAGTACAATAATAAATACTAAATAGTCTATGTTCCCAGAAAAATCTAAGAAAATCAACTGAGAAACTATTAGAAACCAATAAGAGAATTCAGTATTGGTGTACAGGATCTATTAAATAAAGACATTAAAATTCTGCAGAACATACAAGACCTGAACAAATAAGACATACTCTCTTCTTAGAAAGACTCAATCATGTAAAGATATCAATTTTCTAATTCAAAACATAAATTTAATGTATTCCCAATGAAAACTTCAACAGAATTTTCATATGGAAAAACTAATTTTCAAGAAGATCATGGGGGTGAGAGGGAGATGAAACACCAGTGCTACCAAGTGATAAAATGTGTTATAATAAAGCAATGGTAAATAAAATGGCTTGGTACAATCATGCATCACTTAACGACCGGGACACGTTCTGAGAAATGCGTCATGAGACGATTTCGTCGTGTGAACATGATAAAGTGTACTTACACAAACCTAGGTGGTACAGCCTACTACTACACATCTAGGCTATACGGTACTAATCTTACAGGGCCACTGCCATATATGCAGCCCACCACTGACTTGAAACATCATTATGTGGTGCGTGACTGTACTGGCAAACAAATAGAACAAATGGCTTATTATCTGTGAATAGACAGGATAAAAGGAGAAAAAATACAGAAACACACACAAAACTAATCAGAATCCAACATACGTCACACTGCATGGCATTTCAAATAAAACCAATGAAGCAAAGGTTAAGAGCTACCAAGACATGGGCTAAGGCTGCCGGCTGGCACCTGGGCTGGGTCAGGTAGCCACCGTCAGAGAGCCTGGTGGTGAAAGAACAAACCAGAACAATCTCTCTTGGGCCAACTGAGTAACATTCATCAAAACTATACACGCCATACCCTTTGACCCAGTAATTCCTGTTCTGGGAATTCGTCCAACAGATATTCATACACGTGTTCCAAGAAACATGGACAGCATATTCACTGCAGCACCATTTGTGATGGCAGCAGATTGAAAACAACCTAATTACACTCCCCAGGGAGACTCACTAAATAATGACGCCATAGCCAGAGGGTGAACCACTTTGAGGCAGTCAAGAGAAATCTTGACTATACTCATGGTCACCTGGAAAGCTTCTGAAAATACTGATACACAGCCACAACCAGGCCAGTGAAATCAGGTCTGTAGGGGTAGGCCAAGGAATCAGTATTTTAAAGCCCCGGTGACTGCAAGGACAGCCACAGCGGGGGGGACGTCCCAAAGGCAAACTTAGGTTCCACTGTTCATCTCCAAAAGGCGTGGGCCAGTTCCTTAACTGCAACATAGGGGGCGACAGACAGACCTGCCTCAGCATTTTGAGGACAGGGAAAAACTACAAGCACCAGGAGAAGGGCACCCGGCAACAGAGAGACTTGGTCCCTTTCAGCTGCTTGTCCCAGCACACTTGGGGACATAACACAAAGTCCACACATACAGTGTATCATATACAACCTGGAAAATATATACGTATAAATATGAAAAATTAAAACTTTATAAAACACAAAAATTTTACAAAAGAAAATATAAACAATGATTGCTTTGAGGGAGAATTCACTTACATTACACACTCTCATAACTTTCAAAAACGTCTACCCTAAATCCAACTGCTAATTTACTACACCATGTAACAACCAGCAAAATCCAGAGAGTGGGAAACTCAACATACCAACCTGATTTTTTTTTTTTTTTTTTTTTTTTAAGATTAGCCCTGAGCTAACATCTATTGCCAATCTTCCTTTTTTTGGTGAGGAGGATTGGCCCTGAGCTAACATCTGTGCCAGTCTTTCCTCTATTTTGTATGTGGGTCGCTGCCACAGCATGGCTTGATGAACGGTGTAGGTCCATGCCCAGGATCTGAACCTGCTAACTCGGGCCACTGAAGCAGAGTGCACGCAACTTAACCACTATGACACCGGGCCAGCCCCAACCCGATTTTTTTAACAAATAAATTTTGAGAAAACAAAAGAGAAACAGAGGGTCAACTATAAGCAATGTGTGCCTAGAGTCTTATTTGCAGATTTAAACAGAACTTTATTGGGCCGGCCCCGTGGCTTAGCAGTTAAGTGCCTGCGCTCCGCTACTGGCGGCCCAGGTTCGGATCCCGGGTGTGCACCGACACACCGCTTCTCCGGCCACGCTGAGGCCACGTCCCACATACAGCAACTAGAAGGATGTGCAGCAATGACATACAACTATCTACTGGGGCTCTGGGGGGGAAAGAAAGAAAGAAAGAAATATTATTTTAAAAAAAAAAAGAACTTTATTATTCTTTTTGTTTTGTTTTGTTTTTTGTGAGGAAGATTAGCCCTGAGCTAACATCTAATGCCAATCCTCCCCCTTTTTGCTGAGGAAGATTGGCCCTGGGCTAACATCCGTGCCCATCTGTCTCTACTTTATATGGGTTGCTTGACAAGCGGTGCATCAGTGTGCGCCTGGGATCTGAACTTGCAAACCCCGGGCTGTTGAAGCAGAGTGCGCGCACTTAACCGCTGCACCACTGGGCCAGCCCCTGTTATTGTGTTTTGTTTTTTTTTTTGTGAGATTAGCCCTGTGCTAACATCTGCCAATCCTCCTCTTTTTTTGCTGAGGAAGACTGGCCCTGAGCTAACATCCATGCCCATCTTCCTCCACTTTATATGGGACAACGCCACAGCATGGCTTGCCAAGGAGTGCATCGGTGCGTGTCCGGGATCCGAACCGGCGAACCCCGGGCTGCCGCAGCAAAGCGTGCACACTCAACCGCTTGCGCCACCGGGCCAGCCCCCCATTATTGTTTTTTTAATTAGGACATTGTGAGAAAACTGGAAGTTTAAACACTGGTTGAAAATACAGATGAAACAACACGAGGTAGAAACTGCTTCAAAATAACACAGGAGGGGGAGCAGCGGTCGGATGTTGGGGCTGGCAATAAACACATGCGGATTCACTATATCCTTCTGTCTACTCTCATTTATGTTTAAATTCTATATACTACATTCTCTGCGAGGTGCATATATTTCCTTTTCAATGGAAAAAACCAAGCTAGCATAAAAAGTTATACTTCTTTAGTGTTACGGCAAAATAGTCAAACAGAAGCTGGTTGTTTTAGTCTTGAAAAGTATCTCTCGGATAGCTCTGGTAATAGTTGCTTTTTTTTCTTAACACAGCAAAGCAAATATCCATGTGTAGGCCTCTGAGCCCACTGAACACTGCTTCAGCTGCCAGTAACTCTGACTCTACTGTCTAACTGTATGACTTTTGGCAAAGCACTTCACCACTGTACATCTCAATTTCTCCGTCTGTAAGAAGGAAGCAGACTGGGTTCGCACATCTTGAAATACCCATTTCCAGGGGGAGGAGCTCCCGGGTGATTCTCACACGCCTCTTCCTCCCCCTCACACACACAGTCCCCAACAGCCCTCCCACTCTCACAGGTTAGGACGCCAGGTCCTTTTTCCAATACAGCGTCAGTATCCAACAAACTCAATATAAGTCATTGCTGTAAGATATACAGGCCAACCTCGTATAGGCTTTGCAAAAGTCAATAAGCTAAAAATGAATTGCAAAATAAAAACAAAAATGAAATGTTTCTAGAGGAGGAAAAAAGTACTTCTAACGAACAACTTAAATCAGCTTTTTCTGACTTGTGGTTTAAATCAAATCCTTTAGAGGCCTCTTATGCCTGAGGTTCCTTAGAGAAAGGGCAGCTTCAGGGTGAATCAGTGGGAGGGTGAAACAACAGCTACTATACCAGACAAGAACGAAAACAGATCCAGCGGCAGGCATGCCAGGCACAACTCCCAAGTGGGTCCAAGAGAGCCGGACCTGAGAGGAAGGCTGGCTGATGCTGTGGACCCCTGGCTCTCTGTTCACTACCCTCTGCGTGCATGATGACAGCAAACACCCTCGTCTCAGTAAAAGAACCTTTTCAGGCACACAACACTTAATAGTGTACAACATCAACTCAAAATCAGCAAAAGGGATGCAGGAAATGCTCAGGACACAATGTTCACCAAAACAGAAGCCATAGTGTAACACAATTTTATAAACATACTTGTGTGTGTGTGCATGCACACATACACATTTATTTGCATAGAAAAAAACTGTAGAAAACATCCAAAAAGTTAATATAGGGAGTGGTGGAATGTTTTTTCTTCTTTATACACTTATCTTTATTTCCCAAATACTCTACATGGAGCAAAATTAAGAAGAAAAAGGAACAGCTTGTTCTTGTTTTAAAGAAGTAACATTAATAACAGCGTGTGTGCCTATCTGAGTGGCCAGGAACTATACTCAGCAAGTCGTACACACTGACCTCGGTCAATCTTCACCAGAAGCTGATGCGGTGAGCACTTGGAGTGGCATTCTGGTATGTCCATGTGACTCTACCAAAGGGCCTCCAGCAATGGGCACCTGAAAAAGCCGGGACCAACAAAGGAAGGACCCATTCAGAGACAAACCCAGGAAGCCAGCTCTTAGGCAGCATGACTGCACGTGAGAGGATGCCCTGGCACGGAGCAGCACGTTTCTGCTCTCCTGACAGCCCACCGAGGAACATCTAGGGCACAGACATCACCATAGGTGGGGGAGCAGAAATGCCGAGGAATGAACTCGGCACATATCGGCTGCTTATCTTACACAGTGCCAGGAGCTGAGAGAGGCTGAGTAAGTCTCTGCCCCGACACTGAAAGATATGGGAAAAGCCAGACATAAACGAATCAGTGAGATGAAACACATGCTTAGAGGAGGCATGGTTACCTGCCTGGGGAGAACAGAGGGCCAGAGGTGCTGAAAGGCCTTGCTGAAAGGTGGACACTGAAGAACGTGAACAGTGCCCATGCCTGAGGCGGCTGGATCAAGAAGGAGAAGCATGATGAAGACGAAGCATCTGCTGAGGATACTATTAGGAAACCTACAACTTCTCCTCCAAACTATGCCATCCCCTTCCCAAGAAGCATCTGGATCCCTACAACAGCTGGACACAAAGGCCGTGCAGCCTAAAAAAAGGGAAGGCAGCAAGCAGCTTTCTAACTCTTGTTGTTCCAGGCTTTCATCAGATGGGTGGACATTTCAGGTAGTTCCATGACAGCCTCTCCTCATGCGGCCCTGCGGTCTGCTTCCCTGCGCAGGTGGATGGATGGCCTAGGTGGACCCAGGTCACAGAGTGCCATTCAACACAGACAATGAGAGAGCGCCGGGTCCCTCATCCAGGCCCAGCTCCCAGGGCACAGACCCTGTTTCCAGGCAGTATAATCTACTCTCAATGCTACTTCTTTTCTTTTCTTTTTCTTCTTTTTTAAAGAATTCTGTTTGTGATTTATAAAGGCAAAAGTCAGAGGTGGCCCAGCCTTCTGTATATTTTTGTCGGCATCTCAGCATGAGCAAATGCAGTCGCAGCTGTTAACTACAGTGACACCTACCAGTAGAGGAGTGAACTGCAGGACCCATCACAGCCAGTGGGCGACCAGACCCCACAGACATGGAACCCAAGAGGCAAGCCCCACATGCAGCTCTGACAGGTGCCTGACTTAGTGATGCTCATGCTATCGGTTTTGTGTCCCTGTCTCCTTCCGCAATACTAGTAATGCCTATTGGCTTTTCTGAAAGCTACCCAGCACCCCAGAAGTCCTTTGAGCACCAGTCACCACTAGGTAGCACTTTTTATGTCTTCACTATGGACAACTCATTAACCATAAAGCTCCCTTGCAGAATGTAGGCATATTCTCAAATGCTATCTAGTGTGGGCAGGGAAATTCTTGTGTGCAGGGAAACTCTCTCTCTTCTCTAAGGGATAAAACTGGGCACTTTAAGCACTGAAGTGGGGCCGTTTTTGATCTTCACTTGAAAGGTCCTAGCAGTGACAAGAGCAGGAGCAAGAATGAAAGTCACAGTGACGGGAAAATTAAATCAAATTAAAATTTCCCTCATATATCCCGTAAATCACCCAAAAAATATACATGGCTTAATGTGTAAAAATCTGTTTATTATTACGTATAAATGAAAATGTACACTGCAATCACTTTAGGGCAGAGAACAGATCCGTGGCTGGCAGAGCCTGGAAGGGGCACAGGCAGTGACGCCAAAGAAGCAAGTGGGGCCTGGGCTGACGGAGCTTCCTCTGTGATGGTGCTTACATGACTGCACTTGTCAAAGTCACGAACTATTCCAAAAAGAGTGAATTGTACTGCTACGTAAACTACACTTCAATAGAAAAAATTACTGTCCTGTACACCATGAACAGCTTTTAATAAAAATATATATGTAAAAAACAGACGTACAAATTTTTATTATCTTATTTCACCTTTTCCCCAGTGTCTCTGCTGAATCTGTTTAAATTAAATAAGCAAGTGTGTGACCTGACTAGAGACGAAAGGGGAATATTCGCCATCACCACTACCTAATAGTGGGCAGAACCACCAGCAAATGGGAGATAAGGAGCAGTCAGCAGAATCAGCCATCTAAGACCTGGATCCTAGGGAAATGGTGTTTGGACAGAGTACCCAGAACGGGCAGTGCCTCTGTCTGGTCATCTAAAGAATAACCACCTTACATTATTCAACTATCAGAACCCCAGGTCTACAGTTCATAGGATAAGCGACCTTGGGCAAGGACTGGGGGGACTTGGGGTACCACTAAAGGTGGAAGAGGGACAACGACAGCTTTCATATTCCATTTCAGATCTGCCACAGCACTGCATTTCAGATGTTACTGGAGAGATTTGGGCCACAGCTTCCTGTTTTGTCCGTGGAAAACCACTAAGTACCTGAAAGCCGAGGACGTGCCAGACCATGGCAGTGTTGTCCTGTAGCACCAGTCTAAGGTTTCCCAGGACACATCCAAGCCTTCGCTCTATACTTAGACTGGGGCAGAAATCACAAAATTAACTGATTCTAACCCAGAATACAACACACTGATACAAGAATAGAAAAACAGGGTCTCTATAAGACAAGGCAGCTATTCTAATCTTTACTCAGGAATCAGAAACAAATCCCCTCTTTTAATAAAGATTTTAGAAATTATAAAAAGAAGGCAAAAGAAATTAGTGCAACAGAATGTATGTTCATTGTAGAAAAATTAGAAAATATAACAAGGGGCAAAGATGACAAAACTCTCAGAATCCCACACTCTGTGACAACCACTACTAAAAATTCATTGCCTTCCAGGTTTTTTTGCTGCATATATATATATATAATGTTAAACGCCTTTCAAATTTGTTATTAGTTTGAAGCCTGCTTTTCTCACATAATATTATACATTGAGAATATCTGTGTAAGTCGGGGTTCAACCAAAGAAACAGAACCACCAGCAGAAATATATTAAGAGACTCACTGCAAGGAATGGCCTTACGTGACTGGGGGTTGGCTAGGCCATTCCAAAATCCACAGGGCAGGCCACTGTGGAACTTTCCAGAAATAGGGCAAAGCTACTGTCCATGGGATGAATTTCTTCTACTTCAGGGAGGTGCTTTTAACACCTTTCAACTGATTGATCAGACCTACTCAGATTACCTAGGATAATCTCCCTTACTTAAAGCTAACTGATTATGGACTTTAGTCACATCTACACAACACCCAGATGATGTTTCATTTTGTAACTAGGGATGTAGCCCAGCCAGGGTGACACAGAAAACTGACCATCACAATACTTACGTCAGTAATCTTTTAAATATCTTATAAATGTATTTAGCCATTCCTTTAACGAAAATTCAGCATTCTTCTGAAATTTTGCTGAGGTAAGCAATGCTGGAATAAATAAAACTGAAGTGGGCTGGCCCCATGGCTTAGCGGTTAAGTGCGCGCGCTCCACTGCTGGCGGCCCGGGTTCGGATCCCGGGCGCGCACCGACGCACCGCTTCTCCGGCCATGCTGAGGCCGCGTCCCACATACAGCAACTAGAAGGATGTGCAACTATGACATACAACTATCTACTGGGGCTTTGGGGGGAAAAATAAATAAATAAAATTTAAAAAAAAAAAAAAAAAAACTGAAGTGACTAACTTTGTATATTCAATCTTCATTCTCCTATCTAATTATATTATGGGAAGACTACCGGAAAAGAGGAGCTACACATTGAAAGAGCTCCAGAAAACTGCAAAGGGTCCCCTCGAGTCCTTGGCCGAATACTAAACTGCACGCACACAGTATGACTCCACAAGGCATGCGCAGAACTCCTGGTAACTAACCTGCACGATTCCCAGAGCTCACAAAGGGCTGGGAGATGCCCACGTTTCAATCAGCCTTGCTAACAGCTGGCACATTCAGGAGAGCCCAACAAGGCCACGTTTTAGAAGTAGGTGCTCCAGACACGCCCCCAACAAATCTGAAAAACAAGCTTCTAAAAGAGCATACTGATCTGCAAATAAATTAATTGCCCGCAAAAACAAAACTCAACACTCTTTAAAGGAAGGAAATAAAATCCATAGACACAACATCACATCACAATGTCTGGTATCCAATAATATAAAACTACCAGACATATAAAGAAGCAGGAAAATGTGACCCAAAATCAGGAAAAAAACTCAGCCAATAGAAACCAACCAAGAAATGAGAGAGATGATGGAATTAGCAGACGAGGACTTTACACACCTATCATAAATACGGTAAACGATTCAAAGGAAAACAATGAAGGTAGAAATGGAAACCACAAAAAAGATTCAAAGGGAACTTACATAGCTGGAAAACACATTATCTGAAATAAAAAGCATACCAACGAGTTTACTGAGGATTAGACACTAAAGGAGAAAGGACAGTAAATCTGAAGACAGGGCAATAGAAACTATTCCAAAGGAATCACAAAGAATAGAGACTTTTTAAAGGGGGGGAAACACAGAGAGACTGAAAGAATCTCAAAAATCCCCAAGAAGTATAAACACAACGAAAACCACATCAAAGCAAATCACAACCAAATTGCTGAAACTAATTATAAACACCTTAAAAGCACCTAGGGGTGGGGGTGCAGGTGGAGGTGGATCCCATACAGGGAAACAAAAAAACACTCACTTTTCACCAGAAATGGTGTGAGCCAGAAGACAACGGAGTGACATTCTTTAAAATGTTGAAAGAAAGCAGTGTCAACTTGGAATTCCATGGACAGCTAAAATATCAGAAATAAGGATCAAATAAAGACGTTTCTGACAAACAAAAGCTGAGAGACTTCATCACCAGCAGATGTGCACCACGAGAATGTTAGAGAAAGTTTGGGCTGAAGGGAATGATTGGAACTCTGTCCCCTGCCCAAGGCCCTTCCCACTTCCAGACCCCACACCCTATTTCGCCCCTTACGGACCAGAGTTCCATACTCAAGACCTGCTCCCCTTCTCCATCTTAGCCCCACTATTTAGCTTGGTCTCTAAGACTGCAGTCTTGCCCCATCCTATCTCCACAAAATTTATTTTCCCCTACTCCGCATTTTATGTCACTCCAAGTTGTTCACTTTGCTTCAATAACTAGGAAGTACATTCAAAGACTCCCCAAAACAGGTCAGAAGGCAAGTACAAAGAGAGGGAGAACAGAAGGGGAGTGAAGACAGAGAATGGACGAGGCAGAGGCAACTCAGGAGAGGAAGGGCACAGATTTTCCTAAAAACAGAACAGGCCAGGAGCATCACACTGCCTTTCAGACTCCGCTGCAACTCATACACAAGACAGTGTCAGCCCTTCTCACCCAAACATGGGCAGGAAGGACTGTGTAGCCAGTTCACAGCACCAGGAGACACAACTCCTGAGAACTGAGTACAGCACCGCACAGCTTGGTTGAAGCCACTCACCAGCTGTGTGCCCTTGGGCTCATCCAATACAACAGATGAGGGAGGTGCTATCATCATCACCACCACTTTACAAAGGACACACAAAAAGGTGACACTGCTTGCCCAAGGCAATACACCTTTAAGGGGACCCTGGGTCCACAGTCCCCCATATCAGATGGCCTCTTCACGTGTACGTCAGAGCAAGGGGACCGTGGGCACACGTCCCAGCAGTGCTCCTGCAGGGAAAGAACACAGAGCCAAGATTCTGAGGCAAGGCCTCCACCGACAGGTTGGTCTCGGGGGAAAGCATAACTCGATGAGCCCAGGGCTCTAACTCTGGCTCTAGCTTTTAACCGGTTGTACGACTGTGGCCAGATTACCACCTTACGTTATAGGGAGAAAAAGAAAGAAGACTGAAGCCAATCAACCTCCCATCCTATGCAACCAAAGTATTATAATGCAGTTTGCAAACATGAAGAGCTAAATAAACACTGAGACAGAGTTGGTGTGTTACCAAGTGAGAACCACTTATGGACAAACCAGCTATCATCAGGTGAACATCACCAGATATCAAGTGAGAAAGAGCAAACTGCAAAGGAGAAATTCTTACTTGGTAAGAGCTGTTGGTTCCCTTGGGACTTGAGCAGCACCAGCATCTGCTCCTGGCGGCTCTGCCTCCCCCGAGCCCTGGGCCACCTCCTGCACAACGCTCCGCAGGCCTGGAGGTCCCTGAGGCCCGGCAGAGTCTACGGCGGAGTCGATCTCCACCTCCTGGGCTGGGGCTGGGGCTGGGGCTGGCTCCTGCTCAGCTGCCACAACTGCCGCAGCCACGGCCTCCTCTTCCTCCTTTCTCCCGACTTTCTCCTCCAGCTCCTTTCTCCGCTTTTCATCATCCTGACGGGCCATGTGGTCAAAAGTTTTGAATACCTAAAATCAAACAGCAATCCAGCAATGAGTTCATCTGCTCCATGCTATACTACATATTCTATAGGAATGTAGCAAAATCTCTTAAGTAGGGAAGGAAAAAGCAGTTGACTAAAGAAAGTTCCCAGTGGCAAAACGGAAATGCACTTCAACTTCATCAAAAGCTGCTATGACTCTTTAATGTGGGAGTTTCAAAATCAACAAAAGCAAAAACTTACCAGGAAGGCTCACGATATTTACATGCCTGTGAGCCCAACTTTCGAGTCTAAAGGAAGCATAACTAAATGGTCTCACCTGTCATTATTTTTACAGCCCCCAGACAGTCTTGTTTGCAAGGCAAAGAATACACTATCCTGGTTCTGAGAGCTGTAAAGTCACCAACAACTCAAGAAGGGAAGACGGGAATTTAGTTGAACTTTAATCTAGAAAATACAAGCAGGCTTACTGGACTGCTGCTGTCTTCCCACATTGCGCAGGCTGAGGAGAGGATCTTAGAAATGCTTGGGAATCCAGGTCAGCAAATATCCACATGGCGCCTACAACGTGCAAGGAACACAAAAAAGCCAAACGACAGCTCTCACCATCTAAGAACTCAAAATTCTGCTGTCTGGACCAACTCAATCTTTTCTGGCACACAGTCACACCCACAAAAGTGCGGGCACCCTCCACTCAAAAAGTGCACATGAAACACGGCATTTGGTATGCATCATTCAAGGGTTCACATAACCCTGAAGTGCAGCCAGGACAGACCCACATGTGACAACTGCGACAGGAGAGGTTGTGATGAACACCTGTCATGCCATGAGAATGAGGGTGCAAATGAGCATTTCTGGTGAAGGAAATGTAAGGAGGTGTCTTGGAAAGAAGGGGATCCGAAGCAAACCTTGAATAAAAGGCACATCTTCTGCAGGGACTACAGGAGGAAATGTCACAGCTCCAAGAGGTGAGGTCATCAAGAAACAGCTCCTGCAGTAGGTAGAGGCAGGAAGGCTGGGAAATCCACCTTGGTAAGCAGGTGGGAGCAGACTCTTGCCATTCAATCCAGCAATAGTGCTCCTTGGTATTTACACAAAGGAGGTAAAAATTATGTCCACACAAAAACCTGCATATGGTTGTCTATGGCAGCTTTACATAATTGCCAAAACTTGGAAGCAAGCAAGATGTCCTTCAGTAGGTGAGTGAATAAATAAACTGTGGTCCAACCAGACAATGGAATATTATTTAGTGCTAAAAAGAAATGAGCTATCAAGCCATGAAAAGACATGGAGGAACCTTAAATGCATATTACTAAGTGAAAGAAGCCAGTCTGAAAAGGCTACATACTACATGATTCCAACTGTTTGACATTCTGGAAAAGGAAAAACTTTAGAGACAGTAAAAAAAATCAGTGGTTGCTAGGCATTAGGGGAGAAAGAGAGATGAACAGGCAGAGCACAGAGGATTTTTAGGGCACTCAAAGTACTCTGTGACACCATAATGATGGATATATGTCATTATACATTTGTCCAGACCCCATAGAACGAACAACACCAAGAGTGACCCATAAAGTAAACGTCGAGTTTGGGTGACTATGATGTGTTGTGAAGGTTCATCAATTGTAACAAAAAGACCAGTCTGGTGGGGGACATTGATAATGGGGGAGGCTGGACATGTGTGGGGGTAGGGGTATATGGGAAATCTCTGTATCTTCCCCTGAATTTTGCTGTGAACCTAAAAATGCTCTAAAAATATAGTCTCAATAAAATAAAAAATAAAAATGTTTACAAAGTTGGTAGGACTCAGTTTCCAAAGGGCTAGAATGCAGACAGATATTAAATAATCAGTGCTGTGCACTGAACAGGAAGACAGAACAAAAGAAGGATACTAACATACTGAACTATGGCAAATGTTTTTACAAACATTCTCTCAAAACCCTCACAAAAGTGCTGTGAGGAAGACAGCACTGACGTTGCAAAGATGAGGAACAGTAACGCTCAGAGAGGGTAAGTAACCTGCCCAACGTCCTGCCAGCAAAAGAAGGAAGTAAAATATATATATAGGAAGCAGTGAACACTGAAAGGAGATGTAGGCAGAGGAAAATGAATAAAATCGTACGGCTAAAAACTAGAAACAATAAAAGACCCAATTCTACTTCTTCAGAGAACCTGAGCCCCTGACTCATTTCTCTCACATCCATGTTTATGACAGCAGACCCTTTGCCCTCAGAGCCACTCATCCTCCTTAAGCCCCAGATCTTCATCTTAACTCCACAAAAAAAGCAACAGCGAAGCTCTCGCCTAACCCCCGGGACTTCCCTGGAACCCCAGGCCTGATACTCCTCATCGCACCCAATGCCTCTGCTCACTCAGCACTCCTACCTCCTCTAACTGGCCACCTGTTTCACCTCTCTACTCGCTACTGACCTCGGCACTCATTCTAGAATCACAGAATTGTGGAGCTGCATGAGGCATCTGTGACCTCCAATCAACCTTCTCAACTGACAGATGAGAGTGACTCTCCCGAGATTTCCCAACAAATTCAGTGAGGAACAGACAGAGCCGGATTTCCTGATTCTCCTGGGGGAGCTTCTACTTAGCAGGCCTGTCAAACTGGACTCCAGGATAAACACAGAGTTATCAACCGACATGAATGAAATGGCATTCTAAACTTTTTTTTTTTTTTTAAACATACTAATACATGATGGAGGGGAATGGGATTTTCACATGCATCTTTCCTGCTGAGCGTCCTTCAGGCTGTGCATCCAGGCTGTGCAAGCCCTTACAAGTAGGAGGAAAAGTCTGAGAAGCCTTACGCTAACCACACCAACAGTCCACACCCCAAAATATCAGGGGAGAGCTTTTGAGTTCCAGAACAAAGCACCCCAATACTCCCATCCAAACCCTCTTTGCCTGTGTTCTGAAGAGATCCCCAAGCGCCCCACCTCAGGTGGGGTGGATATATTCCTTCAAGTCAGCAGAGAAGAAACCCCCGGGGAAGCAGAGGAGTAGGAGTGGGGATCAGATCATCACCCAACACCACTGAGAGGTAACACTGTGCTGCACCACAGCGCAGTCACTCAATCTGACTCAGTATCCTAATGTCCCACCCCACAACAACTCTTGCCCAATCCTGAACTCGCTTTACAAGCCTCCTGCCAAATGCCTCTGTGCATACAAGAATAGCTCCCAGGATTCATCTTGATCTACCCAACCAAAACACCCAGAGAATGTCTGCTTTTTTAAAGTTCCTTGGGCAATGCTGACAGTTGGGAATCACTTTCAACAAACAATACACCCTTCTTAACCATCTGCTGGAAACTGTCCCCTTGTTTTCTGTGAAACTTACTGTCCTGCCCACTTCCCTCTGTCCCCCACCAATCACACCACCTCTTCTTCTCTCGTCCCTTCACTGGGATTGTTCCCCAAAGAACTGCCCTCCTCCTTCGGCTCTTCTCTCTCCCTCAAACTGCTCCCGTTCCTCCATCTCCAAGGTCAGTGCCACGATTCCAACAGCCTGTGGGCAGGAACTTCTGTCTGCCAGCTCAAATTCAAGTTGTCTGAAACTAAGCTTTTTCCCCTAAACTTAGGTGGCAGTTCAGTTAATGCACTATCATTATTCCAGTCCCCTAAGTTTGAAACCTTGGATCATCTTCCACTCATTCTTTCCTCCCTCTGCCCTGCTCCCCACCTCCACTTCATTACACTGGTCACCAAGTCCTAACCTGTAAGAGTGCCCGGAACATATACTCTTTTTATGTTTTATACACTGTTACCAGAAAAACAAATTACCTCCGCCAGATCATCTGTAAAACAACGGCAAAGACCAACTTTCAGGTTGTGTTAGGATTAAATAACATCCTAGCATGTACAATCACCTCACACAATAACTAGGACATGCCAGGTGCTCAACAAATATTCCTTTCTCCTCCACATCTTTTCTGTAAACTACAATCACCCTAGACAAAAGTGTTCCCATCCTCCTATGGCATGATTAAAAAACAAAAGACAAAGATCTAGAATCAGAAAAATGAAGTTTTGAGTTCCAGCTCTATGATAAATTTGGTCAAATAACCTAACCTTGCTGAATTAGCATCCTCATTTGCCACATAAAATTCAACCTTACCAATTTCACAGGGACTTCCATGAAAGCATCCAACTGCCATAGGGCCTGATAAAAACCATTACTCAGATGGCACTCAGCCACTGAAAGGATGAGGACTAGCCTGCAGTTCTAAAATTGAATACCAACCCAGCCCTCATTTGACCATATTATCTTTAGTAGTTACACTTTCTAAGCTTTTGTTTCTTCATGCAGGCACTGAGAAAAACAACACCTGATCAACCTGCAGCTTGTGGCAAGACTTCAGGAGGTAACATTTGAAAGTACTTTATAAACCGCAAAGTGCTAGAGAACTGTGGAATGTATCACCAGCATTTCTATCGTCTCAGGTTCCTACAAACAGACTCAATGCTTGGCTGAGTACCTGCTTTCAACTCCATCAAAGTCCCACCTCCCCTACAAAATCTTTCTTGATTTCCATAACCATCCCTGCTGTTCCTCTCCTCTGCTCACTTCCCTCTGGGCTCTGTCACATAACTGGCCTTGCATAGTTCTCTGTTACTGTGTTTTATCTTCCTAACGATAATGGAAGTGTCACAAGGAGAGAGACCATCACTTACACCATCCACATCACCAGTGTATCTCCAACGCCTGTGACAGTTGAGAGAATAAACACATTCAGAAAATACTTATTACATTCCAAGGTACCCAGTCAACGTCAGTGACTGAGTATTAACAGTATCTCAAACACACAGTAAACGTAACCTGGGATGTATAAACATGTGCTCAAATGTATAAATTCCCTAAGTACTATGACTGTCTTTGACCTGGAAAGTCACATTTCGAACAAGGGGACCACACCCACCGATCACCACAATCTCCTTTCCACCTCCAGTCTCTTGAAGTCCCGGGGCGTGCAGGAAATCCGTGCTGCCGCTGCCTCCCCGTCCCGCCTGCACGGTTTTCATTCCCTGACTGGCAGCCTCCGGCACCTCAGAAGGTTAAGCGCTGCGGGAGCTGAACCGGGCCCAAGTGCACCCTGCGTCAGACCGGGCTGCACAAGAGCCAGCCCAGCTCCCACAGAGGACTAACTTGATACCCCACCAGCATCTCGGCTTACCCTCAGCCGCGGCCCCAGGGGCGGGTCCGGGGAAGGGCCAGAGGGGGCCACTAAGGCTGGGAGCAGAGAGAGGCGCGGAGGGGCCCGGGGGTCCGGCGCTCCCGCGAGCAGACTCGCGGGGCTCGGGGTCTCCCGGGCGCCGGGGTCTCGAGGGTACAGGGGCTCCCGGGGCGGGCTCGCGCGAGTCCGGGCACTCGCTGCCCCCCATCCCGGGCCGCCCGGCCCTGCGAGTTACCTGCAGCACCAGCGCCTGCGCGGCCCCCGGCGGGAAGCCCATACGGTCTGACGGGTGGCGCAGCAGGCGGTAGAAGTCGGTCTTGCGGTAAAGAAAGCCGAAGAGGACGCGCAGGAAGTCCTGGACGTTGCCCACGTGCTGCAGGATGCCCAGCAGGGCCTGGTCGTACAGCTCCGCCGCCCCGGGCTCCATGGCGTCGCCGGCCGGAGGGAAGCTTGCTCACTGCGGGCGCCGCCCGGACACCGGCCCCCAGCCACTTCCGGTGCGCTGCGGTAACGGCTCCGCCGCCGGCGCGCCCGCGAGACTTCTGGTCCGCGCTGGTTCAGCACCCGCGGACGGGCTGGGCCGGGCTGCACTAGGGCGGCCTTGCCGCGGGCCCCGCCCTCGCCGCCCTGCTGGCTTCCCCCGGCGGCCTCACTAAGGAGCGACGTGGGCGCCGAAGTGCGCCTAGGCGCAAGAGGGCATGGGGCTGCGGGACTGACGGCGCCTAGCAGCCATGTTGGAAACGGGCGGAAGAGTATGGCGCGAGCAGAGTCATGTGAGTCCTCCAGCGTTGTCACGTGGTGTGTGGGTCGGGTTCTCGCTTGGGTGTCCCGACTCCCAGGGTACAGGCGGGACGGCGAGCGCCTTCTGCTGGTGGGTCAGGTGGGGAACATGCTTTCGTGCGAGTGGTGTGGGTCCTGTTGATAATGAAAGGAGAAATGCAAGGTGACGTGCATAAATAAAAGAAAAGAATATAAAGCGAGTGCATGCACGAATCTTAAGTGGGGAGAGCTAGGTGCAGAATAGAGAATCGGGTGTGCCATCATTGTGAAATATATATGTGTGTGTGTGTAGTATATACATGTGTGTGCATGGTATACATACACACACTGCATATATACGTGTCCTAAGTATCTGACCAAGTTTAATCTTCTTTCAAAAAGTTAAAAACATAGCACTCATACAAATATAAAATGATCACGTCAAAGATTGTATTCAACAATTTAATTAACAAAGTAACCAGTGATGTGATAAAGCTGGTTCAAAGAGCATTTGGAGGAACTGGATATTTATAGCATTTTGAGAAAACAGAGTACGATTGTTAGGTTGAACACAAAGCTAGCTGGTGTCCTACAAAATAATAAAACCATAGGTTATCTTTTCTGATGGATGGAAATGATTTGCATCTCTACTGGACTAAAATCTAGGAGTTAACATATGTCTTCATAGTATATGGGCTCTGATGAACTGTAAATAAACTCAAACTCAGCTAGATTGCCCTAGAGCATTGGTTCTGAAACTTTTTGGACTTAGGACCCATTTGCGCTCTTAAAATTTATTGAAGACTCCAAAGAACTTTTATTTATGTGGGTTATGGTTATCGATAGTTACCATATTAGAAATTAAAATTGAGAAAATTTTAAAATATTTATTTACTCACTTTTAAATAACCGTAAAAACCACATTACATGTTAACATTTTTATGAAGAAATAATGTTCTTTAAAGCAATAAAAGTTTAGTGAGAAGAGTAGCATAGTTTTACATTTTTGCAAATCTCTTCCTTGTCTGACAATCGAAGGCAGCAAGATTCTCCCATCTGCTGCATTCACTGCATCAAAATATGTTGTTTTGATTGACGTATGTGAAGAAACCCAGTCTCACACAGACAGCAGCTGGAAAAGAGAGGAGCGTTTTAGCTGTCTTTTCAAATAAACGCATTATTCTTTGAAAGTACACCAAAATTCACCACAGGTAGTAGTTTCTTAAAGGTTAGTTGCAATATGGAATCTGAAACTTTATCAATAAACATTTCCTACTTTGTCATGTTAATATTCATTGGTCTATCTCGCACTTTGAATGGATCCTGCACATGCATTATTTTTGTAACACTATGCATTCATCATTTGAAAACATTTGTCCACTGAGTATGCAGTTCTTCCAAATGTTCACTCATTTCATCTAACAATACCAAAAAAAAAAAAAAAAACAAACCCACATACAGTAATATCATTACTGGATTCCTCAGAGAAGTTTTTAATTATTGGGAATCTCATGGAGCCAGGATGCAGATTTTCAAAAACTCTAATTTTTACTTGAAAACTTGAACTTTATTATTGGCAATAAATACTATCAATTGTTTTTCTTGAAGTGACAGGCTCACTTCCTTCTGTTAGTCATTCTTTCATTAAAAATGGTGTTCTGTGGGTTCCCTGTGTCTCGCCCTTCGAACTACAACTAAAAGGACATTCATTGATCAGCGGAGGATACCCACACAGCACACCAGGATGCCTGAGAGACATGAGCAGCTGCATATCTGAGGGTGGGTGGACTACCTCTCCCCCTGAGGAAGTGGTGGAGATAGACCAGAAGGAAAAAGACAAACACCCAGAAATCCCACCCTGAGGGCATGGAAATCTATGATATAAATGACAAAGAATTCAAGACGGCCGTCATAAGAAAACTCAATGAGCTACAAGAGAATTCTGAAAGACAGTTCAATGAAATCAGGAACCAAATTACTGAATAGAGGGAATTCTTCACAAAAGAGATCGAAAATATAAAACAAAATCAAACAGAATTGTTAGAGATGAAAAACACAATAGATGAGATAAAGAAAAATCTGGAGTCCTTAAACAACAGGGCTGATAATATGGAGGATAGAATTAGCAATCTGGGGGCTGGCCCAGTGGCGCAAGAGGTTGGGTGCACGCACTCTGCTGCGGCGGCCCAGGGTTTGCTGGTTCAGATCCTGGGCGCACACCGATGCACCACTTGTTAAGCCATACTGTAGCAGCATCCCATATAAAGGAGAGGAAGATGGGCATGGATGTTAGCCCAGCACCAGTCTTCCTCAGTAAAAAAAGAGGAAGATTGGCATTGGATGTTAGCTCAGGGCTGGTCCTCCTCACAAAAAAAAAAAAAAAAAAATTAGCAATCTGGAGGATAGGAACACAGAAATGCTTCAGAGGGAGAGAGAACTTAGACTGCAAAGAAATGAAGAAATTCTCCAAGAAATATCTGACTCAGTTAGGAAATGCAATGTCAGGATTATAGGTATTCCAGAGGGAGAAGAGAGGGAAAGAGGAGCAGAGAGCTTGTTCAAAGAAATAATAACTGAGAACTTCCCAAACCTGAAGACAGAACTGGAATTACATATAAAAGAAGCCTACAGGACTTCTAATTACATCAATGTAAAAAGACCTTCTCCGAGGCATATATTAGTAAAGCTGGCAAAAGTCAATGATAAAGAAAAAATATTAAGGGCAGCAAGGCAGAAGAGAATAACCTATAAAGGAAGCCCTATCAGGCTTTCAGCAGATTTTTCAGCAGAAACCTTACAGGCTAGGAGAGAGTGGAATGATATATTCAAAATTTTGAAAGACAAAAACTTTCAGCCAAGAATACTATATCCAGTGAAAATATCCTTCAGATATGATGGAGAAATAAAAACTTTCCCAGATAGACAAAAGTTGAGGGAGTTCATTGCCACAAGACACCCCCTACAAGATTTGATCAGGAAAGACTTCATACCTGAAAAAAAGAGAAAGAAAGGGTTTACAAAGCCTTGAGGAAGCAGATAAATAGGCAGATAAAATCAGAAATTGCAACTCTCCATCAGAACATATTAGCAAATACTTAATTATAACTCTAAAGATAAAGGAAAATAAAACATCAAAAATAAATATTATCACTTCATTTTAACCACAAATTCACAATGCATAGTGGAATAAGTTGTGACAACAACAACTTAGAAGGGGAAGAGGAAAGGGATGAAACCTGCTTAGACTAAGGGAATAAGAGGCTATCAGGGAATGGACTATCTCATCTATGAGATCTTTTGTACAAACGGCACAGTAACCACTAAACAAAAAACCAGAACAAAGACACAAGTGATAAATAAAGAGAGAACTGAGAAAACCATCATAGAGAGCCACCAAACTGAATTAACAATCCAAAATACGTGGGACGAGAAACAAGGGAAATACGTAATAACTGAAAAACAAGAGACAAAATGGCAGCATTAAGCCCTCATGTATAAATAATCACTCTAAATGTAAACGGATTGAATCGCCCAATCAAAAGGCACACAGTGGCTGGATGGATTAAAAAACAAGACCCAACAATTTGCTGCCTCCAGGAAACACATCTCAGCTCTAAAGACAAACACAGGCTCGGGGTGAAGGGGTAGAAGACAATACTCCAAGCTAATGGCAAACAAAAGAAAGCAGATGTTGCCATACTTATATCAGACAAAGTAGACTTCAAGATTTAAAAAGGTAATGAGAGACAAAGAGGGGCAATATGTAATGATAAAAGGGACACTCCACAAAGAAGACATAAGACTTATATGCACCCAACACAGGAGCACCAAAGTACATAAAGCAACTATTATAACAAACCTAAAAGGAGATATCAACAACAAAACAATAATAGTTGGGGACCTTAACACTCCACTTACATCAATGGATAGATCATCCAGACAGAAAGTCAATAAGGAAATAGTGGACTTAAATGAAAAACTAGACCAGATGGACTTAATAGATATATATAGAGCACTCCATCCAAAAAAACAGATTACACATTCTTGTCAAGCGTGCATGGAACATTCTCAAGGATAGACCATATGTTGGGAAACAAGGCAAACCTCTATAAATTTAAGAAGACTGAAATCAATAACAAGCATCTTTTCTGACCATAATGCTATGAAACTAGAAATCAACTTCAAGAAGAAAGCTGGGAAAGTGACAAAGATGTGGAGACTAAACAACATGCTACTGAACAACCAATGGATCATTGAAGAAATTAAAGGAGAAATCAAAGAATACCTGGCGACAAATGAAAATGAAAATACACCATACCAACTCATATGGGATGCAGCAAAAGCAGTCCTGAGAGGGAAATTCATAGC